ACGGACAATGTTAAAATGACTAAAATACAACATAACAGTGTACATTCTGTGGAAGCTCCCATATATTGTGAAGTTATTCCTCGGCCCTAGCTACAATTACAGGATGAAGCGCATTTAAAGAAACGATGTACCCTGCCCAAAGGTGATTCACCGATGAAGTGTTGTGGAAGGTGATAGGCTCAACCGCATGGGCTGGGTAGCTGGGTATGCATTTTTCCATGTAAGAGATGCCAATTTAAGTGATCTTTGGTCGCTTGTTCGTGAAGCCAGAGTCTGGACGAGACCGCTTTCGCTCCATTGCCTCCATTTCAGCTCTCATAATCCGTTCCTGTTCAGTCATCTTTTTAGGAGCCGCAAATATAGAACCCTTCTTCCCGGCCAAAGGATTCTTCTTAGCCACTGCAAACACGTTTTTCGGCTTTTGTGCGCCCATTGACATCGAAATCTTGACCGGTGCGGTCGGAGCAGATGGAGCGGTAGAGTCGGTGCTTTCTATCGGCGCATCTGTCCCTTCCAGCGATACCGTCGCTGTTGTTGTTGCTGTTGTTGTAGGAGGCGAGGTAGGCTTCGTATCTGCCTTCTTCGAGCCAAGTCCAAGATTCAACGTCATTTTTTCTCCTTCTTTCCTCTGCAGCAATCTGGCCTCGGGTTCTGGGTCTGTCGTGGTGCTGCTAGCTAGCGCCGCTTGCTGGGCTCGTTTAATTTGGTCCTGAATCAAGCGTTGCTCTCGTTCTTCGTCTCCCTTCTCCTGGCGTTCTTTCTTTAAGATAGCCTCCCGGCGGCGAAGTGTGTCTGGACTGTTATCAATCCACGCAATAACCAAGCCCTTATCGGTCTCCTCAACTCGGCATTTCCCCTCCCGGCCTAAGTAGGCCGCAAATTGTGATAAACTTTTCCATTCTACCTTCAGTTAGCATTGAGACTTGCTTCTCCTTTTCGTCGGGACATACCTGTGCTGTTCATGTGAATGTGCTATGACAAAGTTAGCCAGAGTGAGCAGAGAAGATTTGGAATACAATGGACATACCTGCTTATCGGCCACAATCTGATTATAGAAATGATTGACGTTGATAGGTTTAGTTCCATGCGTGGTTCTGAGGGTGTCGAGGAAAGTCCGCTCAAATTCGCGACTGAACTCTCTGATGTGCTTGCGCGGGTCTTCTCCAATGATCATCATCTGTCGGACTAATACAAAGTTAGCAGGTGGCCAGGGTATAGAGCATGGAGTTCCATACCATGCGCTTCAGTCATGGTGTGACATTTAAAGCCGTTTTCATCTCGACATTGTTTCTCGCATGCTTGGCAGAACCATCGAAGGCGACCCAATCCTTTGCTTTTGATCTTGTTGCCGATCGCCTTTGTACTGCCAGCCTCCGCACGGCCCATTTTGTATGTTGGTGAAGAAGTCGAGAGAAGAGTTCGTAAAAGCAACAAGAGTAGAAAGCTTCTAAGGACCAAGATATCAGAAATATGGGGTATGTTAAGAAGCCTCCGAAGAAAGTTGAGAGAGAAGCTTGGAAGTGGCGCAGATCTGGAACGCGATAAGCCCGATTGTTATATAATACATCACATGACACAAACCAAAGAGGCCTGGTCCCGAGGTCCCTTGTGAGCTTCCAAAATTGGTTAGTTGATTCTTTAATTTGATGTTTATAGTTACCCGCATTTGCGGCCTTTGTGATGTCTTTTTGGTTAGTCTTTTTAGATGTCTTGTCACCGTCAGTTTCGTAGATAGACGGCAGAAAAAGTAGAAGGAGGCTTAATTTGTGAAATGGACCTTTCTATATATAACTTGGGATAGTTGAGAATTTTTATGTGGATGATGAGTACGAAATGAAGCTGGATACTTAGGTTCATTGAACTATCCTGACAAAATTAAACAAAACTCCCCCAAATCCTACGCCTGCATCCTGAGATCGCTTTTCTACCTAGGATCATAGCGTACATAAAACAAGAAAGAGACATTTCGGAGACAAACCAGCATGAATATTAAATCACCAAGTCTGCAAGTATTACAGGATGTACTCGTGGATTGCAGACGGTCCGCTCTCGTTGTACTCAACCCGACTCATGTAGCCCTTGCTAAGACCCTGATCAATGACAAAGAAAACCTTGGCAGCCATCTGAGCGCCGAGGAAAACGGCCTCTTCCATTCCATGGCCACCTTGGGATATGGCAGAAGCGCCTGGGTTACCCCCAGCACTGCCACCGCTGGCGCCTGGAGCGTTGCTGTTGCCCTGGTCTTTGAAGTCTGGGAAATACTCAGGAAGCTTCAGAGTCTTGACTGAGGTTGGAGTTTGGGAGTGCCCGGTTGAGCGGTAGTGTGATAACATGCTGGGATCCATGGAGGGCGTGCCAGGCATACCGGGATTGTTGTGAGTAGCAGCCACAAGGAGGGGGTTTACCCCAGGTGCCGCAGAGTGGTACATCGGGCCGGATTGACCCATAGGAGCCGGTGTATTGGCACCGGTTGGAAGGGGGGTGGTGAAGTTTGAAGGAATTTCAGACGTGAAGATGGTGCCGGATGGAGAAAGTATGAACTTTTGCGTGATGACAGCCAGCAAAGCCTGTGTGAAACCTGTTTTAACGTTAGCAAAAAGACCTAGACTTTAGTTAGCGACGAGAAAACATACCCTTGACCTTGCTTCCACATCCAACGATAATTAAAGAGTCCCAAAGCTCGCTTCGTTTTGTAGCATCTGGAACGGCAAGAATGGTGTGGTGGATCTGAGTGGCAATGTCTTCGAGTAAACCGCTAGTCAAGCGGTTTCCGACCTTCGAGCGTGGCGAAGTCAAAAGGAAACGCTCAACACTGACTTCGATATCCCGAGTATGACGAATGTACTGCCGAGCGCCGTGGGCTGCTGCCTTCTCTCCTTCCAATTGAGTAAACTCCTCAAACTGGAAGGACGCTTTTTCTTTCTTAGAGTTAGGCAAGCGGGCTCCCTTGGGGTCAACTGCGCCTTTCTTGGTAGTTGTCTTTTCCTTCTCGACATTGGCAAGGTATTCAGTGGGGTTGCCGCTGACAATCGCAGCGACATCGAGAACACCCTCCTCTTCATCACCATTATCCCCCTCAATTCCTGTCTGAGTGCCGTCTCCTGGACCGCGTGGAGCAGACTCATCTCCATCTGATCCGCCCGTCGAGGCAGCAGCAGCAGGGTTGACGCCCTGGCGAGCAGTAGCAGAAGACCCAGGAAGTGGGGTTCCTGGTGGCAGAATCTCAGTAATGTTGCTTCGCTTGAGCTGCTCGCACATCTCTCTGGTAAATCCCTTCGGACCAAGCAGCTCAACGAGGCGATCGGTCATAGCATCTCCACCACATCCCTCCAATGCGATTCCCCTGCCGTGTTCGTTGACTGCGAAGTCAGTCACAGCAGTGACATCGACCTTTCCTTTTCCAACATCGATAATAGTGGCTGTGGCGGTACCATAGCCGTAGCAAGCCGCAAGAGCAGAGTCCATTAGACTAAAGGCGGGTGCCTTGAACTTCTCAAAGACGAATTGAGTAATTGCTTCGCGATCGCGTGCAGACCAGACGGGCTGACCAATAAGCATAATAGGAGTGTGGAAAGGTGGGCTCAATGTATTGTGAATGTGGGTGAGCAGGGCGAAGAAACAGGGCCAGTCGACAATGCGCCCGTTCTCGATTGGATAAATTGCTCCTTCGTCGGATGCCAGGTCCTCCTCGTAGAAGATCTCTTCGATGGTCTTGGTGGGATCGTCATTGTCCTGGGTATTTTCATCGGTCTTGACAGTGGTTTCTGTGGCTGTAATATCATCGGCCGCGGCGGGCTCAGCGTCCTTCATCTCCACGTCCGGCTTTGGGGCATCCGTGCCATTGTTGGCCTTGACCTCTTGACGTCTTTCGTGGACACGGTAAGGCTCATATTCTCCCTTTTTCTCAGCAGGGAACATGCGGGTTGGAAACCGAAATCGCGCGGGCGTGAATGTTTCGGGCAGGCCGAGCTGCGCCAAGGTCATTTGCGAACCCGGCGCAATTAGCTAGATGAATGGGTTAATTTTGAACAAGAAAATATGAAGAGCAAAACGTACCAAGATGTGCTCATCCTTGAAGGGAGGCATCGTTATCGGTGGCAGTAAAGAGCGTTGCGACGAGTGATGACTGCGCGTGGGAGCTCCGCGATGGCTCGATTTGCGTTGGTTGCTCTTTCTTCCCATTGTGGTTTAGCGTGGGTTAAGCAGATCGAAATCACGTGCAGGGGAGTTGGTGTTGGACGAGGAATGTCTCCGAAGATTTGGATGGTCTACGATTGTAAGGTGACAACAAACTTCGATTTAAACAATCAAACTTATTGATTCTAGAATATTTAGCCAATCTCTCTATATAATTTACTATGATTTTGCATTTAGGATTAGAAAAATAGTGAGAATATATTGAAATCAGATCGAAATTATAGGATTGATCATGACATAACTATACACTAAAAGACCCTCGGGAATATATTGTACAGTACACTATATCAAGAATGGCCAGCCAAATTTGCGGCTTTATGATGACTTTTCTGAATGTCTTTTTAGCTAGTCCTTTTAAATGTCCTTTTAGATATATGTGAAGGTGGTAAAAAAAAGCATACTTTGGGCAAGAGACTTTTCTATATTACAACCTTTGACATACATATACGCAGGGCTAAGAGTTGACTATGAGTTCAGCTTGAACAAAATCTATGCTCATACTCCAAATATTATGATGGCTGACACACTCAACTTCTATTGAACATACATTGTATGTATGCTATTGGGACTTTTAGAGAGTTTGGTCATGTCTTAAACATTGAAATCATATGCAATTAACTAATGCATTGTGCGTTGTCGCATCATTAGATAGTATATCCTGCCCACAATCCATCTTCACAAACCAGAGGAAGGAAAAAATCAGAAACAATTCAGGAAAAAAACTCCAGACCCACATATCCGGTGGAACACACAAAACGCCATCATCCTTTCCACTCTATGACCAGCACGAGTCTTAGGTGATTCTATTCCGGGACAGCATGGTATTTGTCAGTCGCTGATCGGAATAGCTCCTGTTGTTGCCGTAGAAGCTCCTCTTCTGTCAGACCACTTTGTTCCATCTTGCTCTGCTTCTTCTCTCGCGACTATGATTAAGAAAAGAGGTCAGCCTGCGCTCTAAGGTGTCACAATTCCAAGCAAGATGTTCACATACCTTCAGCTGCTGCTTGTGTTCTTCGGCAACGGCGAGTACATCGCCGATATAATCACTGAAGCCGAGATCCCGTAATGCCTTCTCCACATGTTCACAAGCGATGGTCTTCTTAGCCTCCTTCTCGCTGATATCGTTTGCTTCGGAGGAGATTAGGGTGATGAATTCAACACAGCATTCCATCAGCAAGTCGCGCGCATCCTTGGAGAAGGTTTGGCCGGAGCTAGGTGGTAAAATCTCAGTAATAATCTTCTGGACCGTCGCTATCACAGAGATAAGTTAGTAAAGGCTAGCAAACGCGTGCGTGAAGCCCCAAGTGCATAGTGGCGAGTAGCAAAGAAGCTCACAAAGAGCTGCACACATTCATGGGGGGTATTGCACTGTACCTTTAGGCAGCGATAGGTCATCGTTTGCTATTCACCCACATATGTCAGCAGGTTGCGCGTAGGCGGGCAAGATCTAGAGATCACTTACAATTGAATTCTCTGTCGGACATGGCGAATCAGGTGATATGGCGACAGATGAATAAAGAACAAGTGCCAGATCGTAAGGGAGAGGCGTAAAAAGGGATGCTTTAATTTCTTTGATCTTTTGCGTGGGGCTCAAAGTTTCAAGGCCCATCGCAGGCGCGCGACGGAGTTAAGTACAATTTCTTGCCGGCAGAATACTACCGCTTTGGGCCACATAAATTGCGCTGAATTTTTTTTCTCATTTGCTCCTTCTTCATCAGTCTTCATTCTCCTCCAACTACCTTGGAAAGAGTCCTTCAAATGAGATCGACTCTTTCCGAGGCCACACACTAATGGTAAGCTCTTGCTTGAATCCCTTTTTTCCAATTTCTACATGATGAACTTTGCTTGTCGCCCCTATCATACATTCTATGGTGACCTTACCTGTCCTAGCCAAACGGACTATCTGAACTATATCAATTCTGCCTATTTGCATCTCACTTCATTTGTCTGAAGCTGTTGCTAACTTTATTGAAGAATTTTTACAGAAAATCAATCTCGTTATTGTAGCTTGGAACTCGTTTCTGCTTGGATTACATTTGTGGAGCACAATTGGGAGGATGGGAATACTTTACATCTGTATTTAAAGGTACGCGCAGAAATTTTGCTATATTTTCAGTTCCAATTACATGATGTATACCTTTACATTCCATGCTAAACATGAAGGTGCACTGCGCCTAATGCTTATAAAATGTATTGCTTTTCATCTTTCGACTGACTTGTAATCAATCATTGCTCCAAATCTTGCACTCATTGTTATATGGCGATCGTTACTGACTTGCTATAAAGATTACAGATATGAACACAAAAATTTATACTAGCTATCAATGATATTCTTATTCCTGGAAAACCTCGAGTTCCTTGTCGTTCCACCTGCCAATTATTAGTAACTTCTCGCGTAATGTGTGGGATAGGACATACGAATAGAAATGACCGCTGATTTCCTTCGGCGCATCGAGCACCAGCTTGGCCATGACATGGCCGGGCTGTTCGGGCTTGAGGAGCTTGCCGTCCTTGTGGACTCCAGTGAACTTGGAGTGCATTTCAGCGTCCAATGCTGTGGCATGGTCCTCCCGCAGAGCGCGCTGCATCTCGGTGTCGACCATACCGGGTCTGATAGACACGGAGGTGACGTCGGGTTCTTCGGCACCCAAGCTCATGGCAAAATTGTTCATGGCGGCTTTGGTGGCAGCATAGAGAGCCCAACCACGGTAACCGGTGACTGCTGCTCCAGAAGACGTGAAGATAATTTTTCCCTTGGATTCACGGAGAGCCGGAAGAGCCGCTTTGGCCTAGATTCTGTTAGTAGTGCATGGTAAATTTGATATAAGTCTCGTACAAAAGCAACCAAGCTGATAAAGTTGATATCAAAGCCCTCCTTCCATTGCTGGGGATCAGCGTCGGAGATTTTGCCGATCTGGCCTAGCAGGCCGTGGTTAAGGACCATTCCATCAAGCTGACCGAAGGTCTTGATGGCTGTATCGACGGCCTGTTGGGCAAGAGAGAAGTCTGACAGGTCACCATTCAGGACTGCTACCTGTTTGCCGTATTGCTCCTTGAGCTTTTGGAGGGGCTCAACGCTGCGAGCTACCACCACCACATTGTGCGATTGAGGTGCCGTGAGCAGATATTTGGCCACGGCAAGGCCGATACCTAGAGATGTTGATATCAGTATAGGGCCATGCATGAAATTTTGAGGGGCGGTACCTCTTGAAGCTCCTGTGACAATGATGGTCTTGGCTGCCATTTTGATGAATGCTATGGTGGTGTTAGTGATATGAATTATCTAATAGAAAAGCAACACCACGACAAAGAAAGCTAGAAAGAAAGCTGAGTTTGAAATAACAGTAGCAAAGAGCATGCATGACAGCAGGTTTCGGCATTGCTTTGTATGCCGAGACTCATGGTGTTGGCGAATTATTCCATAAACACACTCGAGCTGTCTTCGGTATATGGGCGAACAAATATGACTGAACAGCTTTGGAAAGCCACTAACTCAAGCATTGGGGAAATCTGGATAGGCAGCTGGTATAACTTACTTTCAAAATTATTTTGCAGATGTCTTTAATGCTGAATGCCAATTATGACAATGAATAATAATATGAAGACCCAAGGACAGTGACAGAGTGCCGCGAAAGGTTTAGTGCGGGGCTTATTAATTTCGTGGGGCCCGACCTTGAGGGAGGTTTACCTACAGGGTAGACGTCTTGTACTATATCTTTTATTATGAAGAGTAGGGTATATGAAATAGAACCTGTAGGCATAGATCTGAGCAATAGTCCCAAGTAATTTTTTAATTTGCAATAGAAAATAGAGCCGTTACCGATTTTAGAGAAGCGACCTGAGAGATCCACTTTCAATAGGAAACACTTAAAAGATAGCCCAAAAGAGCCAACCGTTGCGATCAGCTTCTTCCCCTACTCCATAGTACATACATAATGTATTGGCAAAGTTTGGTCCATGGTAGCATGTATCATTATCTAATGTGCCAAGTCATGGAATTCCTCCCCGCTGATCCATCCCACCACTCACTTGTACGCATTCCCGGGCCGGTGCATAGGAACCCGGGAAGAAAAACCATAAAGTGTCGATGAATATGACCTGGAACAGTCTCATCTGCAAGGAATAATTGGGACGAACACTTTCTTTCGACAATTGATGGGAGGTTTTGATTCCGCGCCTACAACAGCCAGCATGTCGACCGTCATTCTTGGAGGAGGCATCATTGGAGCCTCAACTGGGTACTACCTATCTGCCAACCAAACAGAAGGCGAGATTCACATCGTTGAGCAATCCCCAGAGCTTTTCACCGCAGCCTCAGGATATGCCGCGGGTTTCCTAGCCAGAGATTGGTTCGACTCATCTCTTGCCCCTCTTGGTGCTATGTCCTTCGACTTGCACCATGAGCTTGCCACAACACAAGGCGGAGAGAAGAAGTGGGGGTTTATGAAAGGAACAGCATTCAACTTGGATACCGTTGCTCAACGCCAGCGAGGTGGTCCCCGCGGTGACGATTGGTTGCGAACGGGCACCAGTAGGGCAGAGACCTCGGCTGGATCCGAGGATATCACCCCGGTTGAGTTTCCGGAATGGTTGACGATGCAGAAAGAGGGAATCGTAGAGAAAATCAGCCAAGGCGAAACCGTGGCTCAAGTGTGGGTGTCAAATTGAAGCGTTTTGCGGATGATTTGCTAACTGTGTTCAGAGACCCATTGTGGTTAAGCCAATTCCTCATTAATGGTGCTGTGTCCCGAGGTGTTAAGCTTCATAATCCAGCACAGGCAACCGCAGTGATCAAAGATGGGAAGGATATGATCACTGGTGTCAAAATTGTGTCTTTGGATTCTAAGAAGGAATCAATCATTCCTTGTACGAACCTTGTGCTGAGCATGGGACCATGGACGCCGCGGGCTCTCAGAGATCTATTCCCTTCCTCTCAGGTACTATTTGATATATCGCCTTTGGCTGGCTATTCACTGGTAGTTCGATCCCCTCGGTATACAATGGAGCACGAGAGAAATGTTTACCGTGGAAGTAGCCATGCTGTATTCACCACACATCCTCCGTCATGTGGGTTTAGTGCTGAGATCTTCCTTAGGGAAGGCGGAGAGATTTATATCGCAGGTCTCAACAACCCCACGATGAAGCTTCCATCTTGCGCCGGGGATACCAGTCAGCTTTTTGATCCCTCCGAGATGCAGAAACTCAAAGATGTTGCAGTCCGTTTGATGGGAGATCTTCCTAAGGGCACAAAGGAGGCTACCGACGAGACGTCCAACACAGATGACCTGGAGATCATCCGTGAAGGGCTGTGCTTTCGCCCGGTAGGAGATAATGGTATTCCCACGATTGGAAGAGTGGAAGATCACTCTCTGGGAGGAGTGAAAGTAAATCCCAAGGGAGGCGTCTTCATAGCCGCTGGGCACGGAGCGTGGGGAATCTCTTTGTGTTTGGGAACTGGGAAGGTTGTTTCTGAGATGATCAAAAAGCAAAAGCTTTCAGTGGATGTGAGTGGATTGGCCGTTCAGGACAAAAGTCCTAGTTCTAAGCTGTGAGCATTTGATATATGATAGGAAAGAGCTCTAACTAGATGTTCCTCAAGACGTAATTTGTCTGTCACTGGCAAAACAATAGGGTAGCCATGTGATTTAGGATTTCATCCTCTGATTGTGCACATATTGACTTTCAAAGTTCAGCTCGTCAAATTAACAAAGACTGATCATCTTCCAACTTCGAATTCAAATACCTCCTTATCAACCTCGCGTTGAAGGTCACACCCTCTGGACATCGGATAATAGATATTCCGGACACCCGCGCAGCTCCCCAGGTTTAGTCATCAAGTATTCGCGCCACTCGAGCTCTCCAGAAACTTCAGGCATCGGATATCACCCAGCTGTCAAAGCAACTTTGCCCTCCTTTCATTTTGCCTGTGTCTGCAACACGACCCTCTCATTTAACCTTCCCTCAGATCTTCCTCAGCCAACATCAGAGCTTGACAGCAACCAATCATGGCCAACTACCTTGCATCCATCTTCGGTACCGAGCAGGACAAGGTCAATTGTTCGTTCTACTACAAAATCGGCGCATGCCGACACGGCGACCGCTGCTCTCGCAAGCATGTCAAGCCTTCGTACTCGCAGACTATTCTCATGCCGAACATGTACCAGAACCCGGCCTACGACCCCAAGAACAAGATGAACCCCAGCCAGATGCAGAATCACTTCGACGCCTTCTACGAGGACGTATGGTGTGAGATGTGCAAGTACGGCGAGCTTGAAGAGTTGGTCATCTGCGACAACAACAACGACCGTAAGTAGTGTTCTCTTTGAAATATCCGATTCTCTACTGACATCTGGTCTCGCGACAATAGATCTCATTGGTAACGTCTACGGCCGATTCAAATACGAAGAAGATGCGCAGAAAGCATGTGACGCATTAAACTCCCGTTGGTACGCAGCGCGACCTATATACTGCGAGTTATCACCCG